TGTGTGACATAATGGCAGGAAATCTTTTCCATATCCAGTTTCAAGTTGTTTGATATTACTTATGTATCATCTATCTAATCTATCACCTATCCTCTCCCTATTTTAAAACAGCACTTTCCATATCATATTTATATTTTAAAAGTCAAGGAATGCTCACTTAGAGAAGTCTTAGTAGGATCTAGGGGAAATTTACTTCATTGAACATAGCTTGAGAGACTAGGACCATTCTATAAATAGTTGTAAGGTTAGCTGATTGATAGACCACACTAACATGTTATATTGTAGAGTTCCGTATTTAAAAGGAACCTGTATACCCTCTGCTTTTATGAGTTATGCATGTTTTTAGAAAGTTTCAAAATCTACCATGGAACTGAGAAGGTAAGGTGAGGCCCAGGACTGATGATGTTTGTAGTTTCTCTTAGAAGTGGATTTTATCACTTTGACCTTCTTTATGACCATTTCTTTTTCTGGCTGTCTTTGATTTTTCATGTGTCACTAAGAAGAGGAATGTCTCTACATCAGTGGTGAAATCTGACTAGGGGCATCTTTCTAACTAATTTTGTTTTGGCTGCAAGTCTTTTAAATTAATAAACGATTTTTTAAAAACAGTTTTAGATATACATAAATCTTTAAAAAAAGATTTTATTTATTTATTCATGAGAGACACACACAAAGAGAGGCAGAGACAGAGGGAGAAACAGCCTCCCTGCGGGGAGCCCGATGCTTGACTGGATCCCGGGGTCCTGGGATCACGCCCTGAGCTGAAGGCAGAGGCTCAACCATTGAGCCACCCAGGCGTCCCAGATATATATAAAAATTGAGTAGATTAGTACAGAAACTTTCCAGATATTGTCCCCCTCCCTCTGCACAGTTTCTCCTATCATTATTATTGCTGTAATTACTAGTCTTACATAAGTGTGATACATTTGGTATTATATTAGTTCATACAATTAATGAACTAATATTGATATATTTTTTAAACTAAAGTCCATATTTGCATTTCTTTAGATATCCTCTTTCTGTTGCAGAATTACATCTAGGATTCCACGTTTCATTAGTTGTCATGTGTCCTTAAGTTCCCTTCAACTATAACTTTTTCTCATATTTTCCTTGTTTTCGATGACTTTGATGGTTTTGCGTAGTACTGATCAGGTATGTTGTAGGATGCTCTCTTAACGGAATTTGTGTGATGTTTTTCTCATGATTAGCCTAGGGTTATGGGTTTGGGGGAGGAGAGTACTATTTTCATCAACTCTTATCAAATATGTATGCCACCAATATGATTTTTGAATGTTGACATTGATACTGATCATATGGAGGGAATAACACTTGTCAGGTTTCTTAACGGTAAAGTACTCTTTCTATACTGTATTCTTTGGAAAGAAGTCATTAGGCAGAGCCCACATATAATGATGGCCGTTATGCCCCTCCTCTTTTGGAGTAGAGTATCTATATAATTTATTTAGAATTCTTTTGCAAGGGAGATTCGGACCAAGATTCTTTTAATTAGGTGGGCTTATTTGGGTTTCAGGCTATCCCAATAAGCATTTTCTGGCTATAATTATGCATATATTTTAAAGATAAGGCAATATGACCATGGCAACAGGACAGAGTGGGATTAGGAACATGAGGATCTGACATTGCAGACCAGCCAGGTTCGTTGCCAGAAGTGAGACCTGGGTAGACTTGTCTCCCCTGAGAGTTGTTTTGTATGATCAGAGGTTCTACTTGGCAATATTGCTTTACTTGTTATCCTCACTGCCTGGAACAAATGTTCCATGGTGTGGCCCATGGCTGGTTTCTTCCCCTCTCCTAGTCTCAGTTCAAACACTACCCCTTCCAAGTAGAGTTCTCAGAGCACCCCAGGTAAAGTAGCTCTCCCACATCCCAGAACCTTCTATCTCATGGCTTTGTATTAATCACTAAGCATCATTTATTGTTATCTAAGGTCTTCTTATTTCTTCACTTGACTCCAGCAAGTCAAGGACCTTACCTGTCTTATTTTCATCTGTCCTACCTAGAAGGTGCCCTGAATATATTCAAAAGAAGAAACAAACATCAAATGACCCTTGGAGACATCCGCACTGAACATTCTCTGAAGCTAAAAATTAAGTGAAATAACAGAACTCTTTGGCAGTTCTGACCAAGATAAAAGATAAGCCCATCTCCACTGCTGGTACTTCCATGAAAAAGGACAGGATCCTAAAAGCAAAAGAGATTTTTAGTATTCTTTCCTTGTTTTGGAATTTGAATTCCTACAAGATGGTATTATTTTGACTTAGATTCCTTTTTGCTTAGGAAACTTAAATTAATAGGTATTTTGGCTGCTATGAAGGAGTACTGACTTCTCTTATTTAACAAATCAATGTCCAGGAAAAAAAAAAGACTTTGATGTCCAGAAGAGGGACGTCTTCCTGAGGCTCTCTGAAATTTGAGATGTCAGAAGTATTTCTCCTCTACAATTGTTGTGAAAAGGAGCACGTTTATTCTCTTGGGGAACTGAAGCATAATGAAATGCAATCTAAGAACATGCAAACTTATTATCTACCAGGATGGTTGAATGGTTCCAATCAAATGGAGGATAGAAATAGGGGCTTTATATTCGGATTTTGGAAAAATGACTCCACAGCTATATTTAGGCGCAACAGTGCCTGCAAATACCTGAAATTGTGGCAGTCTGTGGCTTGTTCATAACATAATGAATATATTTTCTCTTTGAAACTTAACATGGGGGTGAGGAAAAAGTGCCCCAAATTATTCCTGGAGATGGAAGAAAGCTATCTTATTATGGATGGTAAGAGAAAGATTGCAGCTTGTCTAAGTAATTGATTGCCGTTGGTTTTTAATTGGCTCTTCAGAAGGCTGCCTCTGTGCCAAAGACTGCTTCAAGTAGGTGAACCCTGTGACTTCAAAAAGTCAAAATTGTTCTTTATTTCTCTCACTTGTAGGAATTGCTAAGAAGTGGAGCTTAGCATCATTAGCAGTAGGAATTCTTTTATGAAAATACTATTTTCCTTGTCTTCATGGATAGAAGTCTTAGCACCAGGGAGATGACCTTTTAAAAAATATGAATCTGATGTCAATTGCTATTTAAAACTTACCAACAACTTTCCATTGCTATTAACTTAAAAATGAAATTCTGTAATGGGTTCTATGGGACCCTGAGAGAGCTTTGACTGTGGCTAAATTTTTCAGCCTCTCTTGTGTCCCAGGAACTTTGCACATGCTTCTGTGTCTGAAACTCCTCTTCCTTCACCTTCTTCTGTCTAGTTGATTCTAGGTACCCCTCAGTTCCCAGCCCAAATGTCAAAACTAGTTGGACATGTTGTGACCTCCCAGACTCCTTCGTTCAATTTGCTCATAATTCCCCAAAGCTTGTCCTTATCATAGTTGGTATTAACTGTCTCCCCTACTAAATTATTAGGTCAGAGACCATGTCTGTTTGGCTCACTACTAAATGCCCTGGTACCTAGTAGGTACTCAATGCTATATACTGGAGAATGAATGAATGAATGAATGAATGAATGAGGCTAAGTTATACTTTCCTTTCTTGCATAAATACTTTCTAAATACTTAATACTACTTTTCTAAATACTTAATATGCTAACAATAAAATAAGTGTATTCCTTTATTATAATTACAAAAAGGAAAGGCCAGGTTTTACTTTGTTTCATATTGATAATGAGATAGCTTAATTGAAAATGAAGTGAAGAATGTGAGTTTTGTGATCATACGGGCCTAAGTTCAAAACCTGTTCTGAACACTTACTGGCTGGGTAATCATGGGAAAGTACCTAATATTTTTCTGTGTTCCAGTTTCCTGGTCTATAAAATAGTTCAGACCTTGGTTTAAAGCTCTGATCCATCAGTTACTAATTGGGCAACTTGGTTCAAGTTAATAATTTCTCTAAGCTTCAAGCTCCATAATACCTCTCTTTCTCTGTCTTAGGGTTACTAGGAGGATTAGCCACACACACACACACACACACACACACACTTATAAACATATGAACATTGCTCAATCTGTGTGTAGTAAGAAAATAAAAGCAAATTAACACGACAATGTGGCACTATGTTCTATTTATCAAAATACCAAAGATAAAAAATTGGCCAATGCATGTTTTTGGTAACAATGTAGAGAGAGAGATTCTCATAGACTGTTGAGGTAGGTATACTCATTTCACTGTTGGTAAAATATCTTTGGAAGGCACTAAATTTGACCTAGAAACTTCCCCTCCTAGGAATTCATCCTACAGGTACAATCAATCATACATATTCATAAAAATGGCAATGTAGCATGTGATAGTAAATTACTGGAAGCAGTAAAAAGTTCATCAGTAGGACTAGTTTAAAAAGTTATGGAATTGATAAAATGAAATACTGTATGGTAATTAAAATGTATTGATAGAGAATTACCTCTAAAATATTTGATGAAAAAAAGCAATGTAAACAGGATGCAAATTATATTTAAAAAAAGATCGCTCTATAGAAGCATTCAATTGTTTAAATGGCTAGAAAATACTTCAAGAATTTACTGGAAGCCATGTTGCCTCATGGGGAGAGAAATAAGGGTACGTAGCTTGAGTGAAATTTATTTTTCATTGTCTAAACGTTGTTATCTTTAACTGAATGTTTACATTCCTTTATCAACTTAAAATCAATTTAAAAGATCTACTGCTCCTATGACTGCTCTTTCTGTTATTATTAGAAGTTAGAATTAGGCTGCCAGAGACCCCTGGGCTGCTCCAACATGAAAGATGTAAGAGAACACAGTGACAAAGTGGTTATCATGGGAGGACACATTTGTCTATGGGTGTCAGTGGAGAGACAGAAGGCTGGTAATTCTGCCAAAGAGGCTCATCACACATCTGGGCAGTGGGTATTAGGGATGGGCATTGGCTTTTAGGGTATCCTAGAGGGGAACAAAGACCAAACCTCACAACAAGTGTCCTTTAATATGAATTTATTGGATCCTTAGAACTACCTCAAAAATAAGTATGATCCCCATTTAATAAATGAGCAAACAGAGGTTGCAGAGCTTGTCCAAAGTCATGCAGCAGCCAGTGGTGGGAAGTCAGTCTTTTCCAAAGGCATGCTTATAGTTATCTGTGTAGTTTTTAGGGATCTTACTGCTACTGTTTATTCAGTTTTAGACTGCTGTCACTCTTGCTCAAAATAAGCACTATATTAAAAATGCAAGTCCACTCTGCACCAATGATTGCATTTGAAGCCATGCTTGGTGATTTCTAGATGCGCCTTTATTTCTTGTTTGTGGTTCTCTAATTTTACCTCTGTTTTCCCTGGAGAATAGACTACTTGACAGAATCAAGCCTTGTGAGCCCTCCTATTGATCTCCTATGGCCTTCAACATTTTCGATTAGGAAGGACAGGTCAAGGAAGAAACACAGCTCAGCACATCTCCAGGCCTTCCAGACTTGGGACCGAATGAACAATAAACATGGTTTGATCTTAGGGACTACTCTTAATTTGCTGGTCAGTATGGTTAGAAACTTAACCAAATGCTTTCAGATCTGTCTCTACCTCAAATGAATATTCTGGGCAACCTCTTTGATACTGGTTTAGCCCAAAGTTAGAGCACAGAACATGTTTGACCAAGTGCCACCCAGATGCAAGTACCTCTGGTTCCAGTATAAACTGGAAACTTCTTGAAGGAACTCTCTCTTCCTAGTAACGCTCTCCATTCTCAAATACTCTGAAGTCTAAGAAATTTGGAAAGGACCTTGCCAGTAATTAATTTATCCAACCTGAAACAATCAGTTGGCAAATGGATATTTTTCTTTTAAAATCATAGTTTAATAAAGGTATTTAAAGGCTTGAGATGTTTTCAATCATTCTACTGCGATATAATGGTTAATTTTAAGAACTCTGTGAGTTTGATTTGTATTTAAGATTTTTACAATCTATATATAGGTTGGTCTTTAATAACCATTTATACATTGCTTCTTTTTATATAGGTCATGTATTCTCCTGGGAGAATAACAAGATTAGAAATAACAAATACAGTACAGAATAAATTAAAGTGCTTCAAACTGCATTATATAATTTCAGAAAATTGGTTTCACACTGAAACGTTTAAATAAGAAAACCAAATGATTTAAGGGGGAAAAAACCCCCATAGTATATGCATTTTAATTGCTATTGTTTAGCAAGTTTTATCCTTGGCAGTGTGGTATCTGTTCACAGGGCTAGAGTAATGTGGCAGCTCACTGGGTCAATATGGATAAAATTATTATTTTTTTCCTTATTTAAAAAAGTTGGCTTCAGTCTCCCTGAAGAAGAATAGCATTTATTAGTCAAAACGTCAAAGGAGTATCGTAAAAGTGATTGTTATTTTTATATATAATTCTCCAAACTCTTGTATACAAAATGTTCTTATTACACTTTGTGCCATAAATTCAGAGGGTGTTATAGGACAGGAGATAGCAAAATGGGGGCCAGTACTTTTCTAATTACTTAGGATAATAAAAAGGAGGGCTTGGTTTTTCTCTCCCAGTGAAATGAAGGAGATCTGGGGCTCTTAGAGAGTCTCCTGGGCCTGCTGGTTGTGTTTGTTTCTGTGAAGTTTAGCATCACTCTCCTGGTACTGAGTCCTCAGGCCTTTTTCAATTTTTCTATTCGTGCATTAAAAGCCTCTTCCTGTATTTGCAGCTTTTCGTTTATCTCGGTCTGTGAAGACAATCATAAAAAAGTGGTTATGATGGAGCTATCTTTTGCTGCACATTGTCTTTGTGGTTTTGACATACTATAGTGCCTAAAGACAGACATTATCCCTCACACACCTTCCTGTTTTGCAGACGGAGCCGTGTTTCAGCCTGTAGTGATGTGATAACACTTTATCATATTTCTCTGCACATTCCCGATGTATAGCATGGCTGCTATGAACAGGAAGTGGTATTTGGACAGCCATTTTTCACATAGCCTTGTGTCGGAAGATAGGATAATTTATCTGCATTCTCAGACAGACTTTACCAATAAGCACCGAATCAGAATAACTGCTCTGGGCTCAGTTAGTGCGGTGTTGGGGGTCTCCCCATCCCTTTGCAATGATGTTTTTGTCTCCTGTGTAATACATTCTAAATGGGATCTCAGAAAGCTTCTGTTGTGAAACCACAACACAAATAATCTCACAATTAGAACAACTCTCATAATTAAGAATATTCATCATACATTATCACTCTTGGAATTATGCCACTTTGTGGTATAGTTTTGGTAGAAATAAGTACGTGATTGCTGACAGGTTTTAGCATTTGCTGCAGCTGTGATAGCATTTAGCCTCTGGCAGTGATATTCTGTGGGCTGACACTGCTACCTGCACAATTCCAGAAATCCTGCCACATTATCTGAACATTAGTAGTCTGGAAATATCCTCCCTTTTTTCATGATGGATAATAAAATTATGTATTAAGAAGCCAGCGGTGAGTGATGCGGCAAAACCAGTGTTTGGTTTAGGTGATTTAAAAAGATTTGTTTAGGTGATTTTGTTTAGGGATTTACGAGCATGTGAGTAGTTTATACACAGAAGTATTAATAAGCAATTCAAAGTTCAGAATGTTAGTGCCTATAACATAATTTGATGTCTTCAGGGTAACTGTATTTTGAGAAACTTCTATTATTTCAATTTATACAGAATAAATTTTAAAAATCAAATACTGTTTTGGGCTACATATAAATTTTCATTCTTATTTATTTATTTATTTATGAGTGTAACTGTAACAGATAGTTTTGAAATGTATACCCTGGCTCCTTATGTGATGAGATTTTGTTCACCTTCAAGGTAAGATTCAGTATTTCTGAAAGGATCGCACTGGTGTCAACAATTCTGCATCCTTATGTGACTCTCCATTTTTTTTGGGGGGGGGGTTTCAATTTTTTGATGTTGTTGTTTTTTAAAGAATTATTTATTTATTTTAGGGCAAGAGAATGAAAGAGTGCATGCATGAGCAGGGGAAGGAGTAGGACAGAGGGAGAGGGAGAAAAATCTCAAGCAGACTCCCTGCTGAGCACAGAGCCTTACCCGGGGTTCCATCTCACGACCCTGCGATCATGACCTCAGCTGAAATCAAGAGTCTGATGCTTAGCCCATTGAGTCACCCAGGTGCTCCTGGCTCAAGTTTTATCAAGCCCCTCAGTTCTGGCCTCTGGTTTCTCATTTTTTCCCCTTTTTCCTTTCTTGATGGTTGGGTGGAGGAGGCAAGGAAGAATGAACATGGTCCTCCAGGTTACAAAGGAACTCTGTCATTTTTTAGGAATCACTAATCCCCTTGGTCTTGGTTTTTGTAGAGTTGGAAAGAGCACTGATCTAGGATCTGGAGACCTAGGGATTAGTTTTGTTATGTAGCCTTGGACAAGTCACTTAACCACCTTGGGTGTTAGTTCCTTTCTGAAAAATTAAATAGCTAAAAATTAAGTATATTAACATTAGATGCTAACTTCTAAATTCATAATACCAACTCTTATTTTGTGATATATTCACCAGTGTTATATTTCAGTAGTATTACTTTGTGAATTATTTTTAAAAAATGTTACCCTTGCTTCCGTCTGACATGCAACCAGATAGGAATTGAAACAGTTTGAAGAAATAATCTTGTCAGGATGAGCACTGGTTGTTATATGTTGGCAAATCAAACTTCAATTTAAAAACAAGAAAAAAAAAGAATCTTTTCACAATTCTAAAGGACAGAGAAGCACCACTCTAAACAGTTAACTCTTGACTCAATTAATGTGTTCTATGCCCACTAATACTTTCATTTCTTTCAACTAAGGACACAAGTACTATTACCTATCAGCTTCTGTTTCACTGTGTCACCAGTGTTTTCACCTTAACCTGGAGACCTTTCTTATTTCATTGACACAAAATTCATTGACACAGGTGTGGGCTTTGGGGAGATGGTTCTGAGGGTAAGGTGCAGCACAGTATGGTGACAGAGGAGAGCTACATTTCAGCTCTCTAGACTATGGTGATCAGTACTTCAGCTCAGGCACAACCAGCAGAGCCTGGATGCAAACTCCAGGTCTGGTCAAGAACAAGGTTGTAATTAGTCTACCACGTCTCCATGTTATTTCTCAGAACATTGCTGAGCATATAAGCTATCCCACAACCACTAGCAAGGGAAAGTTTCTACTGCCTTTAAGGGAAGAGTGGAAAACCCATGACCTAGGCTCACTAGCCTTTCACTGACCGCTACCTTGAGGTGATCTCCCTCTCAGCTTTTCTAACCTGGAAATTCAAGTTGACCTAGAAATACCTATGGTCCCAAGATGGCAAACTTCCCTCAAGGTTTTTATGTTACATTACCCTGTTGCTTGGACAGGGCCAACAGCCAACATTTAATGTAAGAATTTAGTGTTAGTATTCATATTTCTCTGAAACGTAATTCTTTAAATATATTAAAGTTTGCTCCATTGGGTATAATTTTTATTATACAACTCAGAGCCAGAATAATTTCATTTTGAATGTATCCGTAAAATTAAAATACCTAAACTATATAAGCTTAAAATGTTTGCTCTATTCAGTATAATTTTAATTAACATCTCAGAGCCAAGATAACTTCATTCTTAATAAATCTCTAGAACTATAAAGTGAGTCAATGGGAAAATAAGTGGATTAACATAAAAAACTTAAAGATTCACACTCAAGATTCTCTGAAATTTCTGAATTATAGAAAGTGAAAAATGCCTGAAACTACACTGGAGAAGGAGTTCTAAAAAACAAAACAAAACAAACAAACAACAACAACAACAACAACAAAAAAACCCAAAAACCACACACACACACACACACACACACACACACACACACAACTGTATTCAAAACATGAATTCTCTAACTCCTTTTCCTCCCAAAATTGTAAAACAGCATGGCTCTTAAATAAAGGAGAAATGAAAACTATTGGGAAATTGAAAACATCTTACAAATACTAATTCATTAAATGTTCCTACAACAAGTCAGTGTGTTCATACCCTGACCATGGACATGTGGCTATCTTTGAACAGGGATGCTGCAGTTTTAGGAGCCAGCAGTATTGTAAGGCAGGGTTTAGAAGGGGAAAATAACGTACCTCTCTAAAACAGGGGGAAAACTCTAGGTAAGCAGTGAGGAATTAAACTTGGAACTCGACCAAGACCCAAGGGTAAACACTGAAATAGTGCCACACCACCAGAGTATTAAAGTCCAAAGTGGTCTGGTTGTGATATTAGAGGTTGTGTGGTTTTTGTGGATCACACTGGGATTAGAACTAGAATCCAGGTCATAGCTCCTATTCAGGGCCTTTCAACAGTTTCTGACCCTGGCAATGCTGGATAAATGATTTAGTCTTTCCGTGTCTATCATTTTTCAATATATTTATCAGTGAAGTGCCTGGCTCATTCTTATATAGTTTACCAGGGTTGTTGAGAGAAAATACATAAAAGGGTTTGCTGTATCTTGAAACATTGCATAAATCCACATCATCAAGCCACTTTATTGAAAAATTGGCAGTAATTTGGCCCAGGCTAATGTCCATGAATCCATTTAAAATGGAAACGACTGTGGCACCTAAAGGATCTGCATCCCCCACCTCTGGTCCAAGTCCTTTCTATGCCTAATTGCATTTAGATGAACCAGCTAATGAACTTCCAGGCCCAGCAAGGTTGGCTTCATGCCAAAGGGACAATAACACACATACACAGCAATCATATTCTTTCTGTTATAGAGTAGTGGTATAAATGTTGCAAACTCTAACAGTAAAAAAAAAATTCAACGAATAGTTAAAAATATACTGCTCACTACATGGAACATGGCTTTGGTAAAGATGTTTTCAATTTTGGGAGCCTGCAAACAATTCTATTACTGTCTAGTAGTTCCTCAGCAATAATTTCAGAGCTGCAGGATGGCAAAGGAGCCCAGGGCCATGATTATACATAAACTATATTTAGATGAAATGTTATCAAATCTAAAAAGGAGATATGTTCTGAACTCAGTTTAATTCAACTGCACTCTGCCCTTCTACACAGTAACCAGTTATTACATTCATGGGATTGTTAACAATAAAGCTTTGTGTAAAACGTGTTCTACCACTATTTCTGGTAAACACTAAACACCCCTTATTAAGCTGAGGACTTTGGCTGATTCTATGGGTATCAAATCATTAAATGTTCATGTAAATAGAGCATTAATGTTTGATGATTAGACAAGTAACAAGGTGTGCTCATGCCAAGCTAATCTTTTGCTCTTTCTAAATTAGTTGTTAATACAGTGTGCTTTTTATATATAGTCTCATGTTCAGATAACAATAATCTTTTCCTGAGACATATTAATATTTTAAACATGTAGTATGTTGTTCTGTTGATTCATAGTCATTTCTAGAAGAAATCATAAATCTTCTTAAAATATGCAATTCACTTGTTTAATCATTTTGCCTGGAAAATGATGCAAGTCTTTGTGTTGAGGTAGAAATGAGTTTTTGTTTTGTTTTGTTTTGACAGGAAAAAAACATTAAACATAAAATTAAGCTGACTGATCCATCACTGGCCATTGCTATTAGGATGGCTGTCCCACCACCATATCCAGGCAGCTTTTGATGTAAATTGCTTAGTTATTAGTAATATGTAAAAAAGAACAAACTATCTGAGAGGGAGTTCAAGGATTTGAAAGCCTCTCTTTAGAAATTTGGTGAGAAGACTTACCTAAGAATTACAATTGATCTTCTGTGTTTACTGTTAGAAATGTATTCCATTTACTCTTGCATGTGCAATGTTTACAGTATAACTGGCATGAAGTTTTAACCATGTTATTTTTGGAGTTTTGTTGATGGATGATTTTGTAAACTGACAACACATACCACAGTAGGTGATGTTGGCGAATCTGTTTTGTAATCTTATTGAGTCTCAGATGACTCAACTGAGAATTATGGGGAGGTGTTAAATTGAAGTCCTCCATCATAAGCATCACTGGTGCTAGCAGAGTGTGGGTAGTGTTTACAGGCATTAAGCTTGAGGTTGGCTAATTAACCAGTAATAATAAACTAAGTGAGCACACTATCAAGGCCAAGTACCTGAATGCCGATTAAAATATCATCTGTGACTTGATCCAGTACTGATTTTATATCTTCGATGGTGAAACCCACTAAAGGATCCACATCGGAGGTGTTGGGTTCTGACTGGGATTCCTCAGGGACTTGTTTTTGATCCAATCTCTGGAATATTAAAAGACAACAGCACTCAAGTGATTTCTGGAACATTCAGCGATTTATATGTAATCTCAAACTTCTGTTGGGTGCTTTTGTACCAGGAATGATGTTGATCTGGGAGAAGGTTTGGATTTGATGTTATCCTGCATTATTGTTATTCATGAGCATCAGGACAGATCCAGCCATGGTGCTGTGAATCAGTGCTCACTTGGAGGAAAGTAGAGACTGGGGAGGTCCGAGTGGAAGAGATTAAATTTGCTGAGCCATCCTTAGCTGGCCCACCAGTGCATCAACCCTAAAAGAGATATCTATATTGATCTGGGAAAAATCAGAGGGAAAGAAAATGGAAGAATATTTGGTTTCTTTCCTCCTGCTTGTAGAGAATACAATGCTGAGACAAGGTGAGTTCAGAGACAGAAGGAAACCTACCTTCATTTCTGTATCCAATATTGGGGGTGGCTCTATGAATGTTGAATAAAGATCGAACGAGATTCCTTCTTCTAGAGGATCTGGGAAGAGGCCACCTGAAGGCTTGACAACCTCTATCACTTGCTGAAGGGGGAGAAAAGAGCTGTATCATGACAAACCCTGTGGTGACTAACCACAATTTTGGACAATTCATTCATTCTGTCTAAATATTGTAATGAGTACATACCATATAATACATAGCACATATTATATAACATATATCACATAACCAATTATCAATTACACTAATTAAATTATATGATAATATATAATTATATGTAATTAATGTAACTACATACATAATTTTTATATAGGTATGCATATATATCTACATAGTGCCAAGTCTATAATCTTTTAAGAGCTATCTCCTCTGAATTCTTGACACCACTGCCCTCTTAGTTCTCTATTGCTTTTTGATCTCTGTATTTCTGTATCTGATAGTTAGCATTTTATTCTTCCCACTGTATTATTCTCTTTCTATACTATGTGGCTTAGGACTTCATTTTATACTGCCTTGATCTTTAATTGTTTTATGTATCAGTGTTCCCTTCCTGTTGCCTACAAGATCTCCATAGGTAGAGACTATGCTTTAGATCCTCTGTACACCTTCTCCAGTTCTGGTAGAGGTTGGGCACTTGAAACATTCACCAACCGCCTAATGGTGATCGATGTTAGCAAAGTGTGGCCGTTCTTGGGTGCAGTGACAAAGTGGCCACCAGGAACTTGGTGATGAGGACAATAAACATGTTGAAGGTTAATGTATAAAGCCAGTATGCTGTGAATCAGAGAGATTTGCAAAATCAACCAAAAACAGAGGGCAAGGCAAGATCTCACCATGAGCCCTTCAGAATTTTGTAGTAAGTGTGCAAATCTGAGGGAAGGCGATGCTTGGTCAACACTGGGAATGAAGAAATGGGAGTCAAAGAAGACAACTTAAGCAGTGCCCAGTCCACCATGACTTGGAGGTGAGAAAGAGGAGATGAGGGTACTGATGGCACCACACATCTGAATCATTTAATTAGTTCCTTTTGTTCTGATTCCATGTTTAACAAGCAACATTTTGATCATAATTCGACTTCCCATCTCAACTGATCTATAAATACATGCCCAGCTGAGTGCTTTGATTTTCATGTCTATTACATTCCTCACTGTAAATCAGTACCTTGATGTTCTAGTTTATACAGTAGGCTCCCATGAGCTAGCTTTTGAGGCCCAAAGGTGAAGCAACCCAATGTGTGCTGACAAAGTCAGACCCCAAGCCTACAAGTTTAAAGGCAAAACTCTGGAAATGCATAAAATCACCAAATAATTACCATCCTATGGGACTTGGAAAAACCTGAAGTCATCATACATTCATTTCTAACTTCTCCACAATATTTCAAGTTAACTTACATGTGAAACATGCAATCATGTATAACTTCCTGTTGTAATGTTTTGTCATTTGAATATTACTAAAATTTTTTATTTACATAGGTTTTGGAATGTCCTGAAAGCCAAGCTATCACTTGGTCATCCCAATGTATTTTGCATTGAATTCATATTATTGATTTTAATTCAGCTTTATAGAAAGTTGCTTCTTAGTATAAATAAGGACTGAAGTGTTAAACTTTATAGTCAAGGCAATTTGGAAGCCAAACAACTAAATGATTGGCTTAGGGTCAAATCATCATCTAGTGCCAGGGTTGGGAGTTAAATCCTGCTGTGCCAACTTCTCGGCCTATGTAGTTTTCAGTATGTCATCATGTTACTATTTTTAGAAGTTTTTTTTGTTTTAAGATTTTATTTATTCATCACACACACACACACAGAGAGCAGACAGAGAGAGAGAGAGAGAGAGAGGCAGAGACACAGGCAGAGGGAGAAGCAGGCTCCATGCAGGGAGCCTGGCATGGGACTTGATCCTGAGACCCCAGGATCACGCCCTGGGCTGAAGACAGGCACCAAACTGCTGCGCCACCCAAGGATCCCCATACTTGGAAGTTATTATTATTAATCACTTCATCTCTATTCTGTTAGGTGACATCATGCCAGATTGTCCTTCTTAATTTGACTAAATGTTAATCAAATAGCATATATATATATATATATATGATATATATATCAGAACAATTTTTTCTCATCACGTTCTTAAGTCATTTTTCCCCCTAAATGAGACAAACATTTTCATCTTCCCACAAAATTATTTGTACCTTTTTCATCATGCTTCTTTTTCATCCTCCCACACCTTATATTGCTCTTTATTTTACCAAGCTGGGAAGATGAAACAGCTAAATATAATTTAGTGTCCTTTGCAACATTATCAGTAAAATAAATAAGCTGCACACAGGATCCAGAAACAAGGGCAGATGATGGGGCATTTACTGAGTGGTACAGACTTTCATAGAGGGTGAGGGAGAGGAATTCAGTGGGGTGGGGAGTGCTGGTGAGTTAGCCATTGGAAAGTAGAAAAGAATGAAATGGGGTTTACTGAATTTACTGCAGGCCTTGAGAAAGAAAGCATGAGCTAATCTGCAAGGTGAAATATTTCCTTTAATGAAGCAGAATCTTATTTTGTTACTCTTGCCAAATTTGTCTTACAGCTCTGCTTTTCTGCACAGAGGCTCCGACTTTCTGCTAATTTTTTCTGACCCCTTGGTGGAAATTCACATTAGATTGCGTCTGCATCCTAGTGGTAGCGGATTCCATCCCGTACCTCCTCATGCCCTTTCTTCCATCGGATCATACACAAGAGTGCAAACAAATATTTGTGTTCTCATTGTGTATCTCAAGTTTCTCATTTTGTTTCTCACACCTCTCTGGCCTGCATTTCTTTACAAGGCTCATCTGAACTACTTGCTGACTACTTAGTTTTTTCCCTAGTCTTTGGCACTGGTAGTGTATATATGTGTATGTGTGTGTGTGTACTGGTCACATACTTGGGAACCTGGATCACTCCCAGCCCCACATTATTACTTTTTTTGGTGGAGTGAAGCTCCTATTTATCCCAAGAACCTCTTTTGCTTGATTTTTATGAATATAGCTCAGACAGGTATTCATTTGATTTAATTCCTGCACAAAAACTGGGGCTGAGAATTTCTTTTCTTTAGTGTGTTTTGCATACTATCAATGAACCAAATCAGGGCTACATTTTTCTCTTTCACAAAGAGTTACATTTGGCTTTGTTAGTAAGATACTAGAAAGGAAAGAAATGCCCCAATTTCAGATGGGGGTAAATATAGTCATCTCACTAATAATAAGAAGGCACACTGTCAAATATATAGTTTGAAATAAACATTGTGCCAGAAGTATCATAGTGATTTTTCCCCCATTAAATAGTCTTTTTAAAAAACAAGTTTAAGGAAAATTAGAATCAATAATTGTGGTGAGAGCACAGAGCCAGCAAATATGTTTAAATGAAACCGTCTGATGCAATACTTTCTTAAAAAAATACAATTAGGCCTTTGTATTTTTTTTAACAAAACCTCATGTTTTACAACATCACTGGTTCTGTAATAAAATCTATTTAAAACAGAAAGACATGGTCAGCTTTATTAAGTTAGATTTTCTGAAAGAACGTTATAATTTCCTCAAGTCTATGAATAGTTGAGGCAAATTAAATAAAGCTAGTTTTATAACTATTTTTATACATTCCTGTAGCATTGTAATTGTCTCATATTTTTTCCTCAAAAGTCTAATATGTTACCTCTTAAACCTAGGAAAATAAAAACAGAAAAAGGATCAAGTATGTTTATTAAAAAAACACTCTTCTTTGGTAGCCTGATTTAGCAAAGCACCCTTTCTTCTTCTCTAAGAGAATAGCACCCATAATCTTCAGATCAGGAAACAAAGGGAAAGACTTTAAGTGACTTGCCTGAGGCCTAATGCTGAGATTAAAAATCAGGAGTTTCTGATTATACACATACATCCATTTGGCCAAATGATTGGTTTTGCTTGACTTTCAAATACCCCCTAAATATTACTTTGAATGTAAAGCAATAAATGTGTTTCTCTTGCCATTTTTGAATGCTTGCACACAAATGGATATAATAAAAACAATCATGTTGTTCCATGTGAATGCCATTTATATTTTTTCTGATAATGAGCAGACCATTTGAACCAAGGTGAGTACATTAAAAGCTCTAATAAAGAAGAGAATAGATTTCTAAACAGAATAATGGACTGTTAAGTGAACATACAATAAATAACATCTACAGATGTGGTCGCTAGAAAATTAGTTTTGCATAACTTACCAATATACATTTCCCCCAGATGTTATCTGTTACATGAAAATTAACTTAAGTTAGCTATATTGTTCATTATGTGCACACTGCATTAGTGTTATTTAAGATGGTTTACAATCTGAGCTTTAGTTGAATTGTGCTATGGTATTTAAAGAATATCAAGTAAATGGCTTTTTGGCATAATTTAATACTCGTAAGTACAAAATTTCATCACTGAAACATTATGTAGGTCTTAAAAAATCCAAGATCTTTACTTTACAAGCCAAATAAAATCACTAGAATCCTTTTAAGATTTTACATATTCAATATGAAATGGACATCTATCATGGGAATAATGATAGGAATTTTGAATCCTCCTGGAACTAAGTACAGGGTCAGTTTAGGTTTAAAGAATGCTTATAGGAATTAGAATCTGCTTCAGATCTTCCTGTGTCTGAGAAGAGGTATAAGAGTTTTATCTGAAAATTGTGTTACTTCATGCTTTCTTTTTCTACTTTTTTGTGTTAATATTAATGATTGTATCAACTTTGGTGTACTGTTTTTGTTATTGTGTTGTTTTTATCTGTTGTTACTTTTTATTCTTTTCCTTTGGAAAAAAGTGTGGATGGATTTGTGGGTAGTAGTTGTACTGAAGAAATCTATGATCAAGGTGGCAATTGTTAAATTATTAAATCCAATTATTAAAATACCCAAGATATTAAAAAATGCAATTGAAATGACAACTTTCCACAGTTTTTAACAGCAGAAAGCAAGATAAATCTGTTAAACCTTTTTGGAGCGATAGAAATACATACAAAAAAAAAAAACTGGTATGCTTTAAAAAGACATTTGTTTCAAATTGTCAGATGATGACTTCATATGTAAATCAAAACTTACTACAAAATGTCAAAGTTTCAAAAAGCAAACTTTATTGCAAACATTTCCCAATACTAACTGAGGAAAAAAGGCACAAAATTCCTGTAATGTTTTAACTATTTTCTCCCCTTGAAAAAAGGCATTACTCATTTGCAAGTCTAATGAAGAGGTACATGTGTGGTTCTGGAAATTTTTAACAAAAATTGTAACCCCTTGCCTACAATATACTACACAAAAAGTAACCAACATATGAGTGCCACCTGCAAAATGCAATAAACTCTGGTAATGTCATACTGAGGCCATAAATTTAAAATCAAAAGAGAGGAAATTCAAAAGCTCAGATTATCAGAGAAACTTCAATTAATCCATTTCTAAAGTGTTTTCTTTTGTGTTCAGGCCATTACAAACTTCTTAATATACCCCATAAATGTAGAATATCAATTCTGCTACAAGAGTCCTCCTCCCCTTTTGCATTTTTGACTTGGAAATAAATTTGCAAATGCAGCACATTAATTTTCTTTCCTGTGCTTAATATGCAGTATTTACATTTTGAAAAGGTTCAAAATGTTGCCAGGCTTCTGCAGGGTATGAATAGACATCTAATAGCAACTTCTATTTTTATGCACAACATACTGGCAATTTGAACATCTATAACTTAATAGAGCTTTGAGACCACCAGATCCACATGCTGATCACCTCAACAGTGACCGGTGACACAGGACAAGTTAGGACAGGAAATGAAGACTACCCATTCCAGCTGAAGTGGTGAGGAGGAATTTAAGTTGGCAGGGCCACAGTAAACCAAATTGCAGTCTGGCTAGGACACTCAAGTTAACACCTTGTGCCCATTTTTATTTATATCTTTTGATTTGATCTTGTTTAACTTGGGCTTGAAATTTTTTAAAAAAGTGAAATAATGAAAGAAACTGATTCAGAGTATTTTAGATGTCTTCAGTATTTCCAAGCATAGTTCTGTTTTTAAGGCCAACATTATAATTTGAAAAGAAATCTGAGTTCTCCTATCTTAATGACCTCAGACAACAAAATCCTCTCTAATGAATTTGAAAAAAAGTACCTTCTTGTAGTGTAAATGCAATTTAAAAGGAAAAGATGTTTTGATCTGGCTCTGGTGTAAACATTTCCTGAGGGATAGAACAGTTCTTCAGATACCCAGATATTTTCTAAAGATGGCAATAATCTGGAAGATAGACCACTGAATTATAGGCTTTAGACTTGGCTCTATTCCTAATTGTGTGATGCTAAGAAAATCCCTAGGCCTCAGTTTGTTTATCTGTAAAAGTAGGATAATGATAATTGCTACCTGGCTACTTCATTGAATTGTTTCAAGCACAAATTAGATAATGTGGATGAAAATTCTGGGAGTTCTTCAAAGGGAAAGTATTATTAAACCCAAAGGTGGGTTTATTATTATTTATAATTACTGTTATTATTGAAAGGATCATCGTCCTAATGCCAGCACTGGAAGACAGAATAGGGTAGCCATATTGAGAATACTGGTCCATGCTATTTCTATATGAAATTGTTAACATTGTCCCAAGAGTCCAGTTAATGCAGAAGAGTTTGTTAATAAGGACACGTCACCATCACCCTTGTTTCTTTTTTTTTTTAAGCTTTTATTTATTTATTCATGATCGATACACACACAGAGAGACACAGAGAGAGGCAGAGACACAGGCAGAGGGAGAAGCAGGCTCCATGCAGGGAGCCCGATGCGGGACTCGATCCCAGGACTCCAGAATCACGCTCTGGGTCAAAGGCAGGCGCCAAACCGCTGAGCCACCCAGGGATCCCCTACCCTTGTTTCTATATAGTCACAGCCTTTGAATTACCAAACATATATCCAATGTTATCTTACTTGAAGAATTCCTTGGACCCAAATAACTTCTCTCTGGAGACCTAGATAGCATGACACAGTGAGTTGTTCTGTGGCATGATCAGGAGAAAGGCAAACCACCTATTTAAAAAAGGAGAACGTTGACATCTAACTTTCAAAATTAGAAAAGCTGCCTCTCTTCCCTTCCCCACCCAATTGATCACTCTTTTCATCTTTTGTTTTTCAGGATCCAGTGTGGCCTGTGGTTGTCCAGACTGAGTTCACTTCCAAAAGATTTCCTTCAACAGATGTTGTCAAAGGTAAGGAGTTATGGCACATAGGACACATTTTTAGCATGTCCTTCTGGTGAAAATGGAAACACCAGAGCTCTTGAAACTGCTAAGTTCAACACTGTACTTTTGGTTCTTAGCAATCTAAGTCCTTATCTTGCAACTTCCTCAGGGTGAGAGAAGGAAAGTATGGTTGGTTCTATGAAAATAGTTGGAAAATACCTAATGCTTTTCAAAGATATTTTTAAAAAGCCACTCAGAGTATATTTGTTTAGCTTACTAAGTTACACTCTAAAAGGCATATCCTTGAACTCAGTGTAAAGTATTTCAAACAGTTCTGATCATGGATAAACGTGTTTTGGTTTCATCTTGGCATTCTATTTAAAGCTGGATGGTTTTTAATATTTAATATTGAGGAAATACTCCATCTCATGTTTTAAGAATTGAGGATCAGTATCTGTAAATCAGTTAGTGTGAAAAAGATGAGTTATGCAATTAACTTTGTGGAAAGCCTGTTTTGAATTATCAAATATAAATTTAAACAATTGATTTTACATATGCTGCATTCTAATTATATCTTATAATAGCTTCGTGAAGATGAAACAGTTTCATGGCCTTTATATTTGCAAATACTCTTTTTGAACAACTACCTGGAATTTGCAGAAATCACATGAGAAAATAAGTCATAATGCTTAGAAGAGAAAGTGCGATAAATGAAGGAACCCTAAGTCTTCGGTTCTAGTCTTTCTCTTTTCATGGACTTCCTGTTATTTTTCACAGCTTAAATTACCTGAGTAAGAGGAGGCTGAAACTATTTGGATAAAGCTATCCATGTAATTTACTTAACTTCAAAGCATACCAATTGACTTGCACTTCAGTCCTGAAGTCATCATCCGTTGGTAGCAAAAACACCCTCCAAAACTAAAAAAAAAAAAAAAATTCTTAAAACTATATTGAATTAATTTCATTTAGAAATATAAAGCTTTTTTTATGGCTAAGCTAGAATGTTTGTAGAGTGCCATGAAGTCTTTAAAGAAGTCAACATAATATTATTATTCCTGACCTCTTAGACCCAAGATGTCTATTTTAAGTAATCTGACATTAAAAATGTGCTGACAAATATAGATTAAAAAACAACACAGGAAGTTGTAAATCAGTTGGTAACCCTTAGCATCAAGGAAATAAGAGACCACGAAAATGTAGTCATTTACTTTAGTCAACCTCAACCTTAATTTTTAACTAAAGAAAATTCACAGAAGGCATGATGTTTACATTTTAGATATTTTATTCATAGTTTGTGTGTTTCCTTTTTCTGCAGTGGGCTCATAAATTATTACAAGGAAACATGTTGTCACAGTTATAAATATTTCCCCCTGGGCCTAGCTCCCTCACCATCCCTCCCCCCACCGCTCCCTTTAAAATCTCCACTAACTGGTTCTTTAAGTGCAGTAGTCATTCTTCTTTGATCAGCAGGGCAGGATTTTCGTGCTTCGGAGAAAACTGCTGTTGATTACTCTTGTGTGCCTGGTGTTCTGGAAACAGGGCTCTTTCAGGGAGCACCCAGCCCTTCCTTCCATGCAGGGCAGCCAATTATTATATACATGGGGTTGTCATTTTTTCAATAACCTAAAAGAAGCCTTGTCTTTTCTTCCTAGGAACAGTTCTAGGTCCTATAAGTTTCCAAGGCTTTTTGTGGAATCTGAATTATTGGAAATTAACTACAAAACTGGTTTTGTGACTGGTGGTACCGCATGGTAATACATTTTTGCAAAAAAGACCTTCCGCCTATGATATGGTAAAAATAAACTGAAATCACAGCAACTCTGAAAAATTTACGTGGTATATGTATTTCAGATTTGAATGTTTTAGAAATCTGGACCCCAATCCCACCCTGCTTACATGTATAGTCAGAGATCTGGATTGACTCTGCCACTCAGTAGAGAGTATCTCTGGAACATGTTTTCTTTATTTGTAAAATTAGGGGGTTAGACTAGGTCATCTCTAGTTCAGTTACAGATGCTATATCCTATGTTACTAAATTTCAAGTGGCCTTTTCTCTATTTATACAAGACTCAAAGTTGCCAGCCTGTGCAGATCCTCAGATTCAGTATTTTTCTGTCATGATGTAGAAGAATATTTGGATTACAGTCTCAGTACTTAATGGAATCTTAGACAGGCCATAGCTTGTCCATTTATTTCGACTTAATTATCTTCTGCAAACCTGTTCCTCCTTCATTTTCTTTATCTCTTAATGACATCACCAGCTTCTTGGTTTCTGGACTCAAAATGAGTTGAGGTTGTCTTCAGTTGTTTCCTCTCTCTCGGCCCTAACATTAAATCAGGTGTTGAAGGCACCTCTGTGAAGTGTGTCACCTCTGCCCCCTTTCTTTTTCTTAACAATGTTCACCATGTAGCCTCCAGGTCCAAGATCTTGCCTTCAGAGATCTTGAACTCGGGCCATACTGGATTATTACTTTCCCACTATGCACAGTATTTTCAACATAGTGGGTGCTCAATAAACATTCATTATGGGAAAAGAGAAAAACAGCCAGCCAGCCAGCCAGCCAGCCAGTGTGGATGGAGGTGCTTTCCCAGCAGTGAGTCTTGCCTGTGCTGTCCTCTTTGCTGTGAGGGCATTTCTTCCTCAATCTGGCCAATCAATATTCCATCTGCCCTTCCAGGCTAGCTCACTTACCTCAGTGAGGTGTTCCTTGATCTCCTTTGTGCTTCAGAGTATTTTGCTTGTTCCCCTGGCAGAGTATTTGTTACATTGTACTTTAAGTTATAGCCTTGCCTCAGTGATCTCCCACCACTTTGTGGAAACAACTTGAGGGCAGAGACCATGTCATTCATCTTGGGGCCCTAGCTCAGGTCTTTGTACAAAGGCAGCATTCATTAGGTGTTAAATACTCCATTAGGGTAACGATTCATTCAAAAATTTTCAGGGCTGCCAATTTGTTTGATCTGCGATGATTCAGTTTTAAAAGTTTAACATGAAAAACTGTACCACTTGGAGAAGCAAATCTAATGGTTTATTGTTGCATCAGTGCAATACCTGTATTTCTCAGTTATGAATGGAGTCCTAGAGTATTCGTTTGATTACCATCATGCCAAAAAACAAAACCACTTTCACTCACTTGACTGCATTGCTTAAACTGACTAATTAGTTGTTTTACACAGTATAGCTTAAAATTCTAAAGAATTCCTCAGAGATACCACCCCCCCCCCCCCACAGCTCCTGATGGAAGTAACATTAACATCAGAAAATCTAGGGATTTTCTGAGTTGCCCAACTCCAGGGTCCATGATTCGTATTGCTCTTCATGGGCCATCCACTTGCATCCCCAATTCTCAAAACAATGTGAATGTTACCTGTTGGAGTTGTAGCAGCACTGGCCACCATCCAGAAAAATGAACATTGCTGATGAAGAAAAGAAGCTCTCCGTTTATTGAGAATCTACTCTGAGCCCGGCATTGGGCTAGTTAGAAAGCACATTATAAATATTGGGTCCCTCAATTCATACCACCTTGTGAGGAGAGGTTTTATTGAGCTCATTCTTTGGATGAAGAACCTAAAGCTCACAGAGGCTGGGTAACTTGGTCAAGGTCACACAACTAGAGAATGGCAAATTCCATCAGAACTTGAACCCAGATCTATTTGATTCCAAAGCCCATTCACCTAATTCTTGGCAGCAAGTGGAACCCCACTCTTTTTTTTGGGGGGGTGGAGCCCCAAAACTGTTTCTCTCTGATTTACAGGTGAAAAATACAGGATTAGAACAAATAAGAACAAATAAGATGATGTATGCACACTAGGGATCTGAAAGCATAAGTTCTTAGGGAATTTCAGAAAGAATTTGTTCACTGGTTCCTCACCTCCCTACTGTGCATAATTCCAAAATAACTCAACAAAAGTAAGACATGGAAGTTGTAATTTTTTTTAAGATGGCGAGATGTAAAAGACCTTTGGTTTATAAATAAATTTGAGAACATGCTTAATTCATTTGTGGAAGCAGGAAAATATGGGAGCATCAGTTTGCTGTTGGAGACTGGAATTGCATGTTCCTGCTCAGATCGTACTTGGTCTCATTTGTTGTAATTGTAACGTTTTATTTGGAATCACAGTCTTTTTCTAGGAACGGGCACGTAGAGAAAAGCAACCAATAACCTAGACAGTTAAAAACCGCATTGAGAAATGAGTCCAGTTGTGTGAACAAATCCCTTGTGATTAGTCTTCCACTGTGTGCTGTAATGTGCTTTAAATCCATTTCCATATTTTTAATTAACACTTAGTTCCAAAAAACTTTCTGGAGGCCATTTAAATCACAAATGGAGGAAAAAACAAATTTGCTTTATCAGAAAATTGACTATAGACTATTTTGGTGCCTTTTATTATTTTTACATTTTAATGATTAAAATTAAATATAGCCCGATTCCGACAGAAGACAGTGAAATAATTTTCATGGCTGATATAATTTTAAAGTCAAACCTGAGTGAATGAGATATTCGTTCTGTTGTGGACGAGTTTCATCGTCCATCCTGTGGCTCTAATTTCTGATCAGTCCCATCCATTTCATAAAGGAATTAGACAGCTGTACCACGTTACTCTTCTAGCAGAGACCCGGTGGTGCTTTGGCTCTATCTCAACAGCTGTCCTATAGGGACTATAGTGTTTGTTCTGTCTTACAGATTTTAGACACCTGTTTTCATAGTTTGAATCATTCATTTCTTTTGAGTGAAAAACAGAAAGCACAAGTTTTATTTTAAAATTCTTTGCACCAAAAATATCACCTGCTATATTGAAACCCAGTCATTGCTACAAGTAAAAGGCATAACTGCAGCTCTCTGAGGATGCCTGTTCATATGTAGTCCTACAACAAAGGCCACTGTCCTCATCTAGAAAATGGGGATAAGGAATTATCTACCACTGGGTTTTGTAAATATTAAATCAACATATGTAAAGCACTTACACAGTGCCAGGCATGTAGAAACAGCTTAAAAGTGTAAGCTTGTTTTTTTCAATATATATTTTCATGTCATTTATTTATGTCTACAATAATGATAAACAAAGATCTCTCCAGGGTAAGGGCTTGGTCTATTTTGTTCCCCACTTCACTTCCTGGCAGGCAGCTGACAAATAATGGGAACGTAATAAATATTTATTGAATAATTAAATGTAGGAAATCACTGTGGTCAATAGATCATTCTATCATCATTCCCCCCCTGCTCTGCAAGTCTACTGACATACAGGTGCCAAATTTTAATATTTTTTTTTCTGTATCTTCTCCCTGCCACCAGCTCATGCCCCCAACTTTGGCTACTGACTCTGATTTATAACTCAGACTGCTCCTCATCTGGGTGTCCAGCCTGGCTTCTTGACTTGACATATTCTTCCCCTATTAATGGTTGGATTCTTTATAAAGGTGTCTGTGTTAGATGGAGTCATGCCAAATGAATAGATTGTGGTGGTAGGACTGGAATATTAGGATGAGCATAGCCTCTTCCTTGATGAAGGAATTATTCAGGCCAGGAAAAGCCTTGAAGGATCGTTCTGGTTTTCACACTTGTATGAACACAGCCTTGGCATGAGGGGTTGCTAATGAAGCCAGAGAATGTGGCCCAGCATGTTAATTTACTTGATTCGGGGAACTTCCTCGTATTTATAAATGAATTCCATACATTAGGCAACTGATATTTAGATAAGAAAATCAGAAAACAGCACATGCTGTAATATAGTGCTTCAAGAGATTATAGTATCAATCGATTGCAGCAAAGCTAACACCATTTAAGTAATCAAAAACAAACAAGGACAATGAGCTACTGTTTCAAATCCTGCTAGAAATAAGAAACCAGGACTAAAACCATTCAAATAATAAAGGTAAATTGCAAAACTAAGCCATAGTATTAATTGGGCTAATCTAACTATACAATCTACAACTGAATCTTAACAGATTTAGGATTGGAGTATCACTGGAAACATCAGCCACCTGATTATCATCATTGCCCTAAGAGAAGATGCAGCTTTTACCTGTGAGGGATCTGGTGTTCAAGGCATGTTCTGAAGAATGGATAGAATATCAAAATGTTATGAAAAGGCACATTTCTATTTCTTTAGCTTCTAGTTGCATTTGAAGCATTTTATTCTGTTCATCTTGGCAATGATGGTAAATACTAAGAAACAACTGGGAAGATAATATTTTACAGTTATTCTTTTTTCTAAAAAATACCATTTTCCTTACAGTTTATTTTGTTATAATTGGTTGGCTTACTTGCTCATTGGCAAATAATTTTATTTTTGGTTGTAGACACAGTTATAATGTACAACTTTGTTCTTTTATTAGATCGATTTTTCTGCCGGTAGATCATAAGGCACTTTATTATTTTAGCAAGAATTTTTAAAAGCATTCACTGCTACATCTCTGAACTTCACCATCTCACTAGCATCTGTCAGATTTAATCACCTACAGGACTACCTTATAAAGATTACCTTATCAGAAAAAGTGTCAACTTGTGAGCTTAGGTGTGAGAATTGCAAAATAAAGCTGAGCTACACTAACAACTGCTGTGCTAATTTATTGTAAATTATGTTTTTTTGTTTGCAGAGATAAGACACGAGAAGCGTTTCTATTTAAATTCATTTCCTATTATTTCAACATAAATACCAAACAGCTCGACAAGAATGTGAGAAGGTAGGATATTCCTTAAATAGGTTCTAGTGATAGTGAAATTTATTTTCTAAGCTATCGGGACCAGTCATGTCACATTGTTCTAGGTGCAGAATCAGACGGCACAATTAACACAAAACATGGATGTTTAGAATATTAGATGGAAATTGCTGATGGTCATGTGAAGAGTGATGATTTATAGGATATGAACTGGAAATAATTGTGTAGCAAGCTGGTCTACAACAGAGCTCTAATTCACTGGGCTGACACTGTTAACTCATAATGTGTCGACCTGGCACCAGCCATGATAGATTATGGCTGTTCAGAACACATAAGCATATCCCTTTCATGAGCATTTTGGGAACCATAGTTCAGATGACCCCAGTAAAAACAACTGCAATGGTTTAGCCAAGCTGGTTCTCTAAGAAATGTAAGAATCATGATGAGTCATTATGTTATTGAAATTCAGAACTAGGTGGCAATGAATCACACGAAGTTATCACCTTCAAATCATCAAAGGGAATATAAATTGGGTCGTATAAAGTACCATGAGTCTCACTGCATTTTTAACTAGATGAACCTCTTATATAAACAAGGTTTTATTATTATATTTATTGTTATTATTATTAAAACTAGAGTAAAATTTAGTGCACATAAAAGTGAAGGGCTAATGTTGCCAGCTTGAGCCAGAAAGAGGACAGGCCTGTATTGGTAGATTGCTTCATGTAACACTATCATTACATTTTGACCTATATGAGTCAATGCCAAACATGGGAATTTGTATGATTCTTAAAAATGCATGAGTGGATGGGGCACATGGTAAGAGGTCCTCAAATCAATTTTGTTTTTTAAGCTAAACTAGAATTTGAACTAGAGAACTTGAGAACCAAGGGTAGGTCAACCCACATCTTTCATTATCCTCCACCCACCTTTTTAATACATTGGATCTTTCAAAGAAAACAGGGTAGAAATATCATTTAACAGAAGAGCAAGAAAATCACTTTGCTGGCTTTGCTATGACTTTTTGCTAGTAAGCTGTATGCTATGCCAGATCACATATTTAAAAGCAGAGTTTTGCCTCTTGGGGAAGAATTAGATTTCAGTTCAGTTCAATTGATCTGGGTGCATTCTGTCCAGGTAGGATTTTTGTACTCACAGGGGTTACAATCTGGAGGTGAAGTTAGAAGGCAGGGGATATAAAATCAATGATAACAATACATAGAAATGGCCACAACTGGGCTAGAATAGGGGACTACTGGGTTAGTCATACTTTAGTTAGATGATGACTAAATGATGTGCTAGTTAGGGAATCAGCCAAATGAAGAGACTAGCAAGGGTGGGAAGGGCATTGTGGAGTATTTGGGTGTTTCCATTGTCAGGTAGCCACTCTTCATAATAATTATCCAAAGCCAGAGGAGTAAGTGGCATTAAACCACTTGACTATAAAAATATTTTAAAATAAACTTGGCTCTTGAAGAAGCTGAACATACTTGCTAATTGCTGATAAATATTACTTTGATCATAAGGAACAGAAGAAATACTGTTGTTGGTTAATGGTTATTTTTACTTAAAATGTTTATAATTGGAGGGATACAAATAGAACTGTGGTCATAGATTATGGAAAACACATTGATACGTAAATATATTTTAAAAATCCAAATATTAATAACTACTGACATTTGTGTAGTCCTTTTCTCCCAAAGCTCTTGACAAACATTACTGACTATACACATACAGGAATAGCACTGAAATGCTGCTACTCTTTCAAAGGACAAGATGTTGATTCAAGAGAAAAGTAGCAAATGGCTGATATACTTAAATATAGGTCTGCAGAATATAGGTGTGCATTTGGAAACGTAAACTCGCACCACAGAACCTCCCTCCCAAAGTGTTTGTCATATTTTACTTCAACTTTATTGAATTAGTGGTTTCATTTAACTCCATTTTTTACTAAGACACAGATGATTTTTATTTTTCCTTAGATGGAGATTGAGTTCCTTTATGATTGCTGCATGGCAGTAAGTAAGGACCCAGGGGGATGGCATTTCCTTTCTGAGGACATCAGCTCTGGCTCTGTAGCACCTCCTGGTGTGAGGAGGGCTGATAGGCCAGCGCAACACAAGAGTGCCGCCTACTGAAGGACTGGTTTTGTTTGATTAAGGACCAAGATTATCCTCAGTTATCTGAAAGAAACCAACCACCTGGTTCAAGCAAGTCTCATTTATGAAGTATTAGATCAAATGGATAGTTGCTGGGCTGGTTGGTGACACTGATTGAAAACATGCCATGTTTGTCATACTTACTTGAACAATGTGTAAATTACATGGCAATAATCATTTATAAAGATGAGAGAACAGAGAATGTTTCATGTATACTTTTAGGGCTCTTACTGTAAAATATTAATTATTTTATTGCATTCTCAAAGTATGACTGGCAATGCCAGAAATATTATTTGTTTCTTTACATTTCCTGTAAAGATATCAATATCAATCCTACAGGTCTTCAAAAGTTCAGCTAAACTACCAGCTCCTCCTTAAATATTTCATAATTTTTTTCTCAGAAAACAAGGCAGTCTATGTTTCTAAAACTCTCATATATACAATCATGTTTAACATACCTTTACTGAGCATGCACTAATGAGACAAGTACTGCTTAGGCCCCGGGGGATTCAGACACAACAAGTACACATTCCTCGACTTTCAAGGAAGTCACAATCTAGTGCGTGGGTGGGTGGGGCTTGTAGAGATGACATACACAGTAAATTGCAGAGTGAAATAATTATTAGAAGTATATGTAGGGTGTCCTAGAAATTTAGAGGAAAGAACTATCTCATTGTGGTAGAAGGGAAGAGGGAAAGAGATTCAGGGAAAATGTAAAAGAGATAGTGCCTGAATTAAATCTGAAAGAATAAATAATGCTAGCAAGCAGATGGGGTGAGATAGAGAGGGAAAAATCCCAGACAGAGAGATAGACAGGGAAAGTGGCCTTTACAAAAACAGAGAGAGTAAGAAGCACATTCCCAGATAAGAGATGTACACAGTGTTGGTGAAAAGCTGGGGTCACATGGGTCTGGGTTTAGTCCCAGCTCTAGTGTTTATTAACTACATAACCTTTGGGCAAGTCATTTAATTTCCTATGTGCCTTGTGTTTGCCACTTGTCACATGGGGCAAGTAACATGCTAACTGGCATTTAATTGGTAGAACCCATTTTTGGGGGGATTTTGTGGTAAATTATATCAAAAATTCAAAGCTGAGAGCTATGGAAATGAAAATGATTATGTAGAAGTCTAACAACAAAATGAAATTTTGTTTGATGACTGCTAATGTTTTAAAAATTTACATGTTTTAAATTTAAAATGTGGTTTGTAGTCTTTTGGAGTAAGTCATTTCTAAGAAGTAAGTGTATGTTTGTCTTTTGCTATAGCTACATTGAAATGATGGGGAAAAAATAAAAAAAGAAATCAAAGGATTTGTTTTCCATATGTCCCAATAATAGCCAGCAATTTTTAAAATAAGTTTAGTAAAAGTTAGAACAATGCAGTTCCCTCATCCTTTGCTGAGAGGAAGCCTACTTGATTAATGTAATTAAAGGGTTGCTTGTAACTCAAGACTCAATTAAAAAAATAAATTTGGCCTTATTACTTTACTTCCAACTGGTGGTTTTCCTAGTGTGATTTTTGAGCTAAAATCTGCGGCTGCTTTGTTCATGACACATGAATTGTTTTAGCACATCCTTTCCCCTGCTGTGCATATGATTAAGAAAGCAGAGGTTAAATAGTGCAGTAAAGAATTGGGTAAATTCATTCTATTCTTGCTCACAGCACTTAGGTCCCCTCCCCCTTTTCAGGACTGAAAGAGTGCAGAAGCCTATTATCTTTTCCTGAAATAATTTAAGATATGTTCTTATGCTGAAAGTGTAACTTTTCTTTCTCAACATTTTCTAGTACACTGATTTTGTGATGTCTGTGCTATAGATATTATCCGTATTAGCAAGAAAACAAATGCAAGCGCATCCTACCATTTTATTCAGTGCTCATGGGTGCTTCTCACTGTGATAAGCATTTTGCATACATGGTTTTATTTTTACTTGTGATACTCCTACAAGGTAAGGATAATTATTCTGATTTCTAGATGAGAAACAAGAGGCTCTGAGGGGTTATGGTATTTTTCCAAGATGCCACAATTGGCAGGAGACAGAAATAAGGTGTTAAATCTGGTCTACTTCATTCTAAACCTGGGTTCTCATGCATTTGCATTTTTTGTAGGGCAAGTTTGATTCAAAGGATTTAAAACTAGTTCTGGTACAGCATCTTCCATGTGTTTGTTGCAATACATGTTAAATTCAATTGAATGGAAATTTTAAGCTTAGGAGGGCAAAGAGCAGTGAGTTCTCTACCCTCCTTGAGTTTATAGTCTGATGTGGTTGTGACTATAATATGAAGTGCAATTGATAAGCAACAGAGAAGGCGGTATGGTATAGTGGGGAGATCATGACAAACTCACCATGTCCAAAGGAACTCTTCATTTCTTCCCTTAACCTGTTCCTTCCCCAGTCTTCCAGGGAATGGTGCTAATATGCATCTGGTTGTTCAAATCAGAATCCCTGGGCCATCTGCAATTCCTCCCTCTTGCTCACCTTTTGTATCTCTAGCAAGTCCTGTCTGAGCTGTGCTGAAATCTGACAGCTACTTCTGTCTCCCTTCCCTGTCACAACGCCCTCCAAGCCCTCTGGACCACAGATGTCATCACTTTCTAGCTGTAAAAAATAAGTGTCCCTGCTCCCCTACCCAGTGAGAACCATGTACGAGGGGCAGCCAGAGTAGGTTTTGGGGAGCCCGAAGCTAAGGTATGATTCAAAATTACATGCAAAAGTGAACATATAGAATGACAACAGTAGTAACGAGAAATTACATATATTAAAAAGCTGATGGGGGTGCCTGGGTGACTCAGTTGGTGAAGCATCTGCCTTTAGCTCAGGTCATCATCCTGGAGTCCTGGAATTGAGTCCCACATTGGGCTCCTTGCTCAGCGGGGAGTCTGCATCCTCCCTCTCCCTCTGCTCCTCCTTCTGCTCGTGCTCTCTCACCCTCTCTCTCAAATAAATAGAATCTTTTTAAAAAGCTGACAAATTCTAAAAATATCACAAAACAGAAAAATAAGTTAAAGATCATTAGCTGCTTGACCTCACATCTGTGATATATTTTACTCTACTTTTTGGGTTTCATACTCTAATCAGCTCTTCACATGATAACGATTTTGTAATATTATCTTCCATAGAAAGAATGTAAAGATTAGTTGGTCTTTGCTCTAGCTCATTAATGGAATTTCAGCCTTTGTAACTCATTATCGGTAGTATCATTTACATTTGAAGATTGATGTCAAATTTCAGAAAACCCGTATCCAAGTTCCCTTTCATATTTGACTTACAGAATTTAAGATGCTTTTCAGGTTCTTTTCTGCAGTGAACAATTTAAAATAATCGTTACTTGTTGAATGGATGGCACTCATTAATCAATTTGTGTCGATGTCTCCGCTGTAGAGGCATATCATACGTTTGATGTTATCTTCATTGATGTTAGTAGTTTTTGTGAAAATGAAAGAAATTTAAATCTTTTTACAATGTGTTCATATGATTCACTCCTCTTCACTAATTGGACTATCAAGCAATCTAGAAGCCTATTCATTGCTTCGATTTAAAATGTATTTCTTCTTATTGGATTACTACTTTTGTTCTGATCTGAATTTGGGGGGCTTACAATTACTCATTGATGTCAGAATAATTTCTACTGATTTAATTGCTCATCTGTATTGCCCTTGTTTCATATTCCACTATACTTTGAATTTTTCTCAGTTCTTTAATAAATCAATTTAAAAATGACAAAAGAAGGTACTCTGAATATAAGTCCAAATCACAAGCTGTAATTTCTCACTTGTTGAACTAAAACATTCCAAAAGTCTGCCCAAATTGCAGTTAAAATGGCATATTCAAAATTTATTGAATAAAATGTTTGCATTTCATTTGCACTTGGGTTTTTCTTCCAAGTCTTCAAAAATATATTTTAGAGTTTTTAAAATGTCATTTAACTCTTATTGCAAGACTTGAATAACTTTTACACTGCTGATAATTATTAAAAATTTCCATAGACTAGCTTCTAGCTCACACCTCTCAAACCTGGTTTCTCTTCCACTATTTACACACGTCTGGGGCCTGGTCCTAAAGCACACATTCATATGGCAATGTGATCTTGGACTCTGTACCTTTGTATTAAGATGTCATAGTGGGTGGTAGAAGCCATATCTGCACAAAGATGGCTAGACATTAATTATTATACAAGAGTTCCCTCTCCTGAATCAAACAATGGCCTTTCTAATATATGTAGCTATATATCTCCAATTGTCTATAGGAAGTTTATACTTTGTCATTCTATTATCAATTATATTCCATTATAAATTTAATGTATTTAACACTAAAGTCATCACCACAACCTTTATTATCATTATGAAAATATCTTTTCTAATTATGTCAATGGCACAATTACTTTCAGATCTTCTTGTCATCAAATCCATACAAGATTTGATTCACCTTCCTACTCTTTCATATCTAGATTGATATCAACTTCTTTGTTAACTTTTTAAATAATATTTCTTACATATATATGCTCATTCCTTTCTATTTCCATTGCTATATCCTGAGCCTATATATATTTTTTACCACTTCTCTATTTCCTAATTTCCTCATTTATCTTTTTGTCTCTAATCCTTTTTCACTTCAAATGTTGTGTATAACATTGCCAAGTTACTTTGATCAAAATACTGCTTTTATCATACCAGTCTCATGCTTAAAAATGTAATCTAGAATTGCTTTTTTTTAACATTTAGATAAGAGTTTTTATCACAGATGGAATAAAAAAAGAGTTCAAATTTCTGAAGAATTCAAGTTAATAGTATTAATTTGGATGACAAGTAAAAAGTCAGTTTCAACTTAATAGCAGTCACATTATAGAATATTTTCTAAATAGAGCTTTACTTTTAAGTGGTAGCATTCTCAACCTCTTAACCAGGGTTCCCAGAGAAGTCAGCCTTTGTGCCTAAGGCATCCACTGTTTATGATAAATTAACTTCTCTCCTGTGTATATAGGATCTGTGTATCATTCTTGAGAAAATGAAGAAATTGGTCATCTAAACAACTTTCTGTAGAACTCTTGCAGGACATCTACTAAAAAGATTAGTATAGTAACTGAAATAAACTGCTAACAAAATAGTACAAGTAGAGATTCTCCATCTACCTTAATAACTTTAAAAAACCCTACTTGAGGGGCATCTGGGTGGCTCAGCGGGTGAAGCATCTGACTTTGGCTCAGGTCATGATCTCAGGGTTCAGGGATCGAACCCCATGTGGAGTCCCACATGGAGCCTCACGGAGCCCCTCATGGAGTCCTGCATCACATCAACCTCTATTAGCTCAGCAACAGGCTCTATGCTCAGTGGGGAGTCTGTGTCTCCTTCTCCCTCTGCCAACCCACTTCCCCTCCCTGTCATCCGCTTATGCTCTCTCTGTCTCTCAAATAAATGAATAAAATCTTTAAAAAACCCCACTTCATTTATAATAACAATGTCCATTTGTATATAAACAGTGAATACTGCCAAATTAAAATCCTGTCTTAAGGAAGCAAGAGGCTATTTATAAACAACTTCCACGTAATATTGTCTACATTATGTGTCTCTGTTCTTTTATAGACTAAAATTTTACTATTAGTGTAGACCAGGTTGACATTCTGAAATTCTAAGTTATTTAGGTTTGAATTAATGAGGTTTCTACTGTTTATATTTTGCAAGAAGACTCAAACTGCTACAATGTGTATCATCCAATATAATTGTTAACATATAATGTATTCTACAATGTTTATGTTAGAATTATATGACAAAGACATATTTTGAGAGGATAAAATATAACATTTCAATTCTGGGCTATCATTAAAATGTTTTTAATTTAACTTTTAAAGTTAAAAGTGGGTAATATTTGTTAATAATATAAAATAGTGATATTGGTGTATTTGGATAGCAGTTAGCTGTTAAAGTGACAGAAAATCCAAAGTTCAACAGCTTTAACAAGATACTATTTTACCTTGCCTTCACATAAATATCCAGAGTTAAGCAATAGAAGGCTATTATTTTTGGGTCTAGATTTCTTTATTCTTGTTGTTCCTCCATGTTGGCCTTCATTCATTTTTGCAAGATTATCCTCTGGTCCAAAATAATTGCTCCATCTGAAGCCATCTCCCCATTTTTAAAGATTTACTTATTGGGGCCCATGTGTGGCTCAGTCCGTGAAGCCTCTGCCTTCAACTCAGGTCATGATCCTGGGATCCCGGGATGGATCCTTGCATCCAGCTCCCTGTTTAGAGGGGAGTCGCTTCTTCCTCTCTCTCCGCTCCTCCCACTCATGCTCTCTCCCCCACTCACTCACTCTCTCTCAAATAAATAAAATCTTTAAAAAATTATATATTTATTTGAGAGAGACTGGGGGAGGGCTAGAGGCAGAGAGAGATGGAGAGAGAGAATCTTAAGCAGGATCCACACCAAGCATGGAGCCTTATGTGGGACTCAATCTCACAATCCTGAGATCAGAACTTGAGCTGAAATCAAGAGTCAGTTGCTTAACTGACCCCCCCCATCCCTTTCATATTCTAGCCAGAAAAATAGGAGAAAGGCAAAAAG